TCCAGTTTCTAGGAACCTCCTGCATTCTTTGACTTGTGGCCCCTTCTGTCTTCAAAGCCAACAACAGCATCTTCAATTCTCTCACTCTCTCTCTCCCTCATCTTTACCATCACCTCTCTAATTTCTGTCTCCCTTGTAAGGATTCTTGTGATATATCAGATAATCCAAGATAAATTCCCCATCCCAAATCCTTAATTGAATCTCATTTACAAAGTTCCTTTTGCATAGTCACAAATCCCAGGGATTAGAATGTTAACTTCATTGGAATGACATTATTCTGCCTTCCTAAGGCCTCCTGAGCTCTGCTTTCATGGTCATGGAGAGGAAGTAAAGGAGGTTTCTGTGATGTCTAGGGATCAAAGCCTGTGGGTCAAGATTAAGGTGGAGCTGAGGGCATTCTCTGCAGGGTGCAAGCCAGTTCCAGGGTGGGGACAGGAACTCTGCACCTCCCTGCAGTCCCACAGCTTCCATAAGGCAGGAAGGGCTGAGCCCATCTCTCCTGCTTGACAATTGAGAGACTCTGGGTAGCAGATTGGATTGCTGTTTCTCTACTCCTGCCTCCCTCATGTCTTTATATCTCTCCTGTCACCTTGATGTTGAGTTCTTCATCCTGGGTGGATTAAGTAATCAGTCTTTTTTTTTTTTTTGAGATAGCGTCTAGCCACGTAGCCCAGGCTGGCCTCAAATTCATGATCTTCCCAAATTCTGGGATTAGTTGTCACTCAGCAGGTCTCATCTTCTTGACAGTCATTTCGTCTTATTTTTTCTTTTACTCAGAAGACAAGAGAGAAGCGAAAAATGCCCCAGAGATACAGATAAGCCTGGGATTCCATGAGGGCTCTGGAGAAGCAACAGCCACTCCCAAACCCTCAGCCAGGTTACAGTGGACAAGTGCCAGACCTTTACACCTTTTTAGTTTGTCTAGCTGGACCAACACTACAAAACTGGTGTTGCAAGGGTCTCCTTCTCCTATAGAATTCCCCTGGGCAGAGTCAGAGGCTCCTAATAGACACCTGCTAGCTGTGATGAATAGGTGCTCTGCTGCTCACTCATCTTCCCCATTACATTGTCCACTCCTGAGGAAAGAGACTTGTCTGACTTATACTTTCCCCACATACAGAGTGCCAAGACCCTGTGTAGGTAATGGATGGGTGGAAATCTCATGTTTCAAGCTGCAGTATCCACTTGTCCCCATATTCAGATGACTTTCCTGAGGTCACTGGGTTTCAGGCGTGCAAAATCCAGGGGCGAGCTGAGAGACAGAGCGAGAGACGACAGTCATGAGCAACAGAGAGGGGTACTGGGTGGCAGAAAGGCAGCAGCACTCCTGAGGCAGGGCAGGAGTGCTTTGCAAACACCCAGCAAGTATTGCCTTCACTCTGACCTTTCCTCTTTGGATGGAGGCTCAGGTTTCAGCTGCTGTGAGGAAAGCCATCCTGTAGTACCAGGAGACTAAAAGTACCCTCTCTCCCCTCAGTCACATGCTGTGATGACCCAACTGTGGGGTAAAGGGTAAGACCTGGGCCTGCAGCATTGTTCTGAGATTAGGGGACACAAGCAACCTGCTTATCCCCACTTCATTCTCATAAATCTCTTATTTCTGAAAGGTCCCTGTGGAGGTGAAAGGTTAAATATTAGTCAAGGGCTGGGTTCTTGTAAAGTTATGGAGATAAGATGAGGCAGAACAGAAGACACAGGCTGCAAGGCTCCTTGACAAAGCGTCCTTGTCCTTTAGATATCTCGATCACCCCAGGACTCCAAGGAGTCCTGTCTTCCCTGACAAGGTGCGTCTTGTAAAGAGAACATTTTATGTTTTCTATCCCAGCACAAGGGAAAGTGGCCGTATTCTCCCTGTTGTCCGGGAGAAGGAAGGATTTCTTTGAGTTGTCCTACTCTGCCCTATTTTCTGCAAGCATGTTCTTGTCATCTCTCTGCCCTGCCCTCTGTTCCCTTTGCTGGAGGTTGATTTTGTTGTCTGAGGTCAAGACCCAGTCTCTTATTCTGTAATCCTTACCCATTCCTGAGCCCAAATGGGTTTTGTTTTCTAATCTCCCTTTCATAAATCAATCTTCTTTATCCTTAAGTCATGATTGCTTGTGTCTGCCCTAGATTCCTGGGGATGGGAGCCCAGCCTTGTACCCAGCAGGTCTCAGGGCCCTGGGGAGAAGCTGAGATCACAGCCCAAGTTGTTTAGTGATTTATATTGGATTGTCACCAGGTGTATGATCCTGAAATCCTGACTGAATTGAGTAAGGTAATGAAATGTGTATTTATCAGGATGCCTCTGTCTATCTGGAACATTCCAGTATTTATAAAATGTTCTCCCTGATCAGGCACTTAAAAATCCTTCCTCTGACAGTGTGTTTTGATTCCCCTTATATGATGCCATCTTAGACAACAGCTCCTCCATGAGGAGTCAGGAGTTTCTACCCTTGAAGTCAAGCTTCCTGTTGCTCTTTTGGCTTCATGAAAAGAACTGGGGATATTGTCTCCTATTAATGAGATTGTTTGGAACAGGGGAGATTTGTATGCACTGTGGAATGTGTAGAGTGAGGTGAGGTTGATGGACTAATGGATTGTGGCATTTTCTTTATTTATTAAATGTTTGTTGAGTACCTGCTATTTGCAGGCACCAGTGGTATGCTTGAGGATTAAAAACATGAAAAGTTACAGGCATGCCTTCCTAGTCTACAAGGAAAGTGAAGAAGAAAGAGATCATTTTAATATGAAGAATTAAATGCCATGATTAGATATAAACAGAGTGGTCTGGGATTGTTCGAGCAAGGAAGGACAAACTTTGTACCCTGTCTATAAAATGTGACTGATATCTTACCTTGCAGGCATTGTTGTTAGGAATAAATAGAATCACAAAGCTTTGAGGAACAGATGGATCTTGAAAAATGAATTTGCCAGGTAGAGCTAATGCAGGGAGGAAGATCATAGAGGGATAGTAATGTAGGACCTTTCTATCCTCAGAATCAAGCAAGGTTGGGAAATAAAAGCACAGTTTAAGCATAAGGTGTTAATATAACTTAATCAGCCATTCAGAAGTCAGAGCTCTGGGGGACAAGCGAAGAAACAAAAACAGCCTCGTGCTTTTACATGTACAGTGTGTACCTTTTGAGCACTAGGGGGTGTCCTGGTCAGTGTTTCATGAAAAGAACCAGAAAGATTTTCATTTCTTTGACCTTGAGAACTTCCCAGGCATCAGGAAATTGAGAGTCACACTCCTACAGCACAGAGCTCCAGTGGGTTGCTGGGCAGTGTAGCACTAAGCAGAGAGCACCCCGCTCCTAGGGCTCAGCCTCTGAGCTCTAACTTGGCCCTTGCAGGTTCCATTTGTTGGGATCTCTGTGGGAGCCATGTGACTCCTAGGTAAAGAAGCAGAGCTGCACATCCCCCATGCCACCAACGAAGAGAGCAGGCAAAGAAGCGCATGAACACTTGTCAGTATCATTAGTCATTAGGGAAAGGCAAACCAAAATCACCATGAAATACGACGCACACCTGTTAGGACAGCCAGATTGTTTTTTAACTGACAATACCAGATGTTGACAAGAATACAGAGCAACAGGAATTCTCAAACACTGCACTGCTGGTGTAAACGCAAAGTGATATGACCACTTTGGAAAACAGCTTCAGTTCATCAGGGTTTTTGTTTGTTTGTTTGTTTGTTTATGAAATTAAGTATACATTTACTATTTGACCTAGACTTCTATTCCTAGGAATTTACCCTAGAGAAATGAAAACGCCACTCAAAAACCTCTACCATCCACTCAAAGACTTTAATGCAAATCCCTTTTTTTTGAGACATGGTCTCAGTATATAGCCCAGGGTGGCCTTGAACTCACTGTATAGCCAAGGATGGCCTCCAACTTTTGATTCTCCTTTCTCCGCCTCCCAATTTCTGGGATTACAGGCATGATCCACCACACCCAGATCTATTCAAGTCTTTATAGCAGCTTTACTTACATAATAACCCCAAACCAGGAACTACCCAAATGTCCATCCAAATGAAAGAACAAATGATCCATGGAATAGAATTTAACAGTAAAAATGAACGAACTGCTAATATATAGAGACTTAAGTAGATCGCAAAGCATTGTTAGGTGAAAAAAGACAAGATCCCATGTATGTGACATTCTGAAAAAGGTGAAACGATAGGGACAGAAATCAAACTAGTAGTTGCTAGAGGTATACAAAGAGGATTGGCTGAGTCTAGAGGAGCAGAACACGTAATACAACTTTTTGAAGGGTTAGAAGTATTCTATATGTGGAGTGGAGTGTAATAAAACAACTCAAGTACATTTGTCAAATCTCATCAAGCTGCACTCTTTAAAAAATGTGAATTTAAGAGGCTGACAGAATGGTAGAGTGACTGCCTAGCAAGCATAAGGCCTTGAGTTCAAACCTCAATACTACCGCAAAAAAAGGTGAATTTTGAGCTAAGTATAGTGGTACACACCTATAACCCCAGCTCCTGGGAGACTGAGACAGGAGGACCAAGAGTTCGAGATCAGCCTGGGCTCGAACTGGTTGAGACAGACATACCCTGTCTCAAAAAAAAGTGAATTTTCTAGATGTAGATTATAGCTCGATAAATCTAAGTAATAAAAGAGTCCCATAATCAGGCTTAGAAAGTTGACAGCCAAGATCCCAGCTGCTCAAGGCTCCCCTTAAGCAAATAATGACTTGAATGCTAAGCCCATTCTCGTGTCTGGATCAGATGCTGATCCCAGTGGCCCCCAGAGCCAGTGTCTACACTTCCCTGCCTACTTCTGGCTTCCAGCCCTGGGCAGGGCATGCTCTGACCAAGCTCTAATTTGGGGCACGTAATCCCCATTTGTAACCTATTAGCTGAGCCAAAGTTTCTGGTCACTGGGGCTGAGCCTGTGAGATGTTTGGCTCGCCTGTTACAGTCTCATCGCCTGTTCAGCACAGTGGGCATAATGCAACCTCCTGTGACCTCTGAGGGCATGTCTGGGGCTCTGTCATTTCAGTGCTCCTCACATGGGTCAACTGCTCCAGCGTGCGGTGGGCCACCCGGGTTCAAGACATCTTTACGGCTGGGAAGCTCCTGGCCTTGGCCTTGATCATCATCATGGGGGTTGTACAGATATGCAAAGGTGAGTACCATGGCCCCCTCCGTGTGCACATCCTGAGAGGTCCCAGGTCTGGCTTTCAGTGACTTCCGTCCTCCACTTGCTTGACAAAGGGATAAGAAGCCATTTTCCCCAGGGTTAGGAATGCCTTCCTGCCCCCATCACTTGAAGGATCCACCTCCTCCTCATGCCTCTAGCACAGCCAGGGAAGACCCCAGATCTCTGTACTGTATTGCCACCTTGCTCCAATCCCAGCAAAGCTCCCTGTGTCTTCCATTTTATCTTGTCCATTAAGTTAAAATGGAGAACAGAGGAGGAGAATTTTATATGCTTCAAAATTACTCATAGTCTTTGCAAGAGAGAGCTCTACATTCCGGGGCCTCTGCCAATATTCCCCATTGGATTTGGTCCTTTCTGAGCCTGAGTCTGTTTTTGGTTTCCATGGCACCCGTGGCACCACTGGGCTCTCTGCTCAGCGTCACTGCCTCGTGGAGGAAGTCAGGTGACAAACAGAGAGACCTCCCGCCTGACCTTCGAGCACTGACAGCAGCATGGGGAACCTGGATTTTTTACTCCAGGAAACAAGTTTCTACTATTTAATGTCTGTGATCATTTTAATCAATTGGATTAAATCCTTCAGCAGGTTACATTGTCTTCAGGAAATTAGATTTAAGGAAATCACTGTGCTATATTTTCAAAGATTGTGAGTTCCTCCTAATCTGGTCTCAATTCTTTTTGCTGGTCATACTAATCCCCTTATTTCCTGTCCTAATGAGTTTCAGATGAATAAGTAGCATAGTCAGTTACTCTAGCTCATCCCAACTTCAGACAGCAGTTTTTTGTTTTTTGTTTTTTATTTAATGCTGGGCAAGATCTCTTACCACTGAGCTGCACCCCCAATCCAGCAACCTTTTTTGAGGGCCCATGGTGTGCAGGACACTGGTAATGCTGGAGAGGCAATTTAAAGGCTCTTTACTAAAGGATCCTGGAAAGGAAGCCAAGCACACCTGAGAAATAGGACATCAACAAAGCAAGCAAAACAAACGTGAACTAAGACAGCATTATAGAAGTTCTGGCTTGCCAGGTGCCAGTGGCTCATGCCTGTAATCCTAACTACCCGGAGGCAGAGATCAGGAGACTCAAGGTTCGAAGTCAACCCCAGCAAATAGCTTGCAAGACCCTGTCCTGAAAAAACTCACAAAAAAGGGCTGGTGGAATGGCTCAAGGTGTAAGCCCTGACTTCAAACCCCAGCACTGCAAAAAAAAAAAAAAGTTTAGGCTTGAGTGTTTGTTGTTGATGCTTTCTTGATGAAAATGTACAAATTTAGATATCAGGGAGAATGATCAGGAGACTGCCAGTGGCTCCAATCCTGTGTTTCCAGAGCCCAGCAAGCCAGCTTCCCAGTTTACCATGGCCTTTTCTTCTACATAACCTTGCCTTTTAAAAAAGGAAAATTCAGTCCAGGTACAGCAGCCCATACCTATAATCCCAGCTACTTGGGAGGCAGAGATCAGGAGGATTGTAGTTTGAGGTCAGCCCAAGCAAAATGTGAGCAAGATTCCATCTCAACTAATTAACTAGGCATCGTGGTACCACACCTGTGATGTCAGCTCTGTGGGGGGACTGAGGTCTAGGATGACCCAGCAAAAACATAAGACCCTATTCAAAAAGATAACCAAAGCAAAAATGGCTGGGGACTTGATTCTTGTGGTATAGTATCTTTAGCAAGCACGAGGCTCTGACTTCAAGCCCCAGTACTGAAAAAAAAAAATTCAGAGCCATACTTTGAAACCCCGCTTGGACTCACAGTTATGAGGCAGTGGGAGATCCTGGACCTGTATTTCCCTGCTCCTTTTTGTCCAACTTTTGTGGGTTCACTGGAAACCAGACAAAAGAGTTGGCATATTGCCACAGGAGGGGTGAGAGACTGGATGGGGCCAGCCAGGGGCTACTGAACCTGGACTTGTCTCTCTGAGCAGCCTCCTGCCCATTTTGCCCACAGGAGAATTCTTCTGGCTGGAGCCAAAGAATGCATTTGAGAATTTCCAAGAACCTGACATTGGCCTTATCGCCCTGGCTTTCCTTCAGGGCTCTTTTGCCTACGGAGGCTGGAACTTTCTTAATTACGTGACTGAGGAACTTGTGGATCCCTACAAGTGAGTTGAAATAGCCCAGCTCTTCCTTCTCCCTTGAAAGGCCACATAGCACTGCTACTGGAAAAAGGGAGCAGGTGTGCTCTTCTCACCTCTCCCTACCCTCGTCCTGACCATGTTCTGGTCTGTCCTGAAGAAATAGTTCATTTTCCAGGAACTTAAACCATTTGCCATCTGTCCTGCCAGGAGGAGAGGAAGGGTCCTGTGACTGTCCCCCAGCGGGGTAAAAGCTGAAAATTGTGCTGGATAGCACCACTGCCTTAGAGGATGAGCTGTCTTACCTGTCACAGGACAAGCCGGTTTTTGTGTCTCGAGGCAGCGGGAAAGGTGCATGGTGGAGATCTGGGTGAAGAAGAGATCAGCAGGGCTGGCAGAGTGGCTCAGGCAGTAGAGCTCCTGCCTAGCAAGCCTGAGGCCCTGAGTTCAAAACCCAGTACTGCCAAATGAATGAATGAATGAATGAATAAATCGTTAAAAAGAAAAAGAGGTCAGCAGGTGTGGAGCACACTTCCAGCCTAAGCCATTCATTTCCTTTCATTTATCCTGACCCGGCTGAGACAAAACTCACCTCCCAAAGAGAGGTAGCCCACAGCAGCTATCAGGCTAGGCTCCTACAGGCCCCTTCTCAAAGCAGGTGCTCTGGGCACAGGCCTCCCTCTCACCTCCTCTCCCTCTACAGGAATCTTCCCAGAGCCATCTTCATCTCCATCCCACTGGTCACATTTGTGTATGTCTTTGCCAATGTCGCGTATGTCACTGCAATGTCCCCCCAGGAGCTGCTGGCATCAAATGCAGTCGCTGTGGTAAGAAATTAAACTTGGGTCTCAAACCCAGAATGCCGACCTAGACTTCATACTTAGCCCCGCCCACTTTTCCCTGATCCTTGGCCTCATGGAATTGGAAATCATTCCAAGTCTTCATGTGACTTTGATGAGGCATCTTTAAGTGCCCCGGCGCAAACTGATGGCTGGGTTTGTTGACTGTATAGAACAAACCCACCTATTCTGTCTGCCTCCATTTCCCGCTGTGGGAATCCTGCGAGCCGACCCTCCTTCATCAGGGAAAAGTGGATGGGGTAAACAGTTCAGAAATAGGAGTAATTTATGTCCTTGTGAAAAGAAATCTTGTAGGTGCAAGGGGCTGGGGTCCTGGGTATCGGAGAAAGACTTAGAATTAATCCTGCTCCTTCCCTTTAGCCTCAGAATGGGCCATGGCTCTACCAGTTCAGTAGGTTGTCTCATCTCCAAGTACTGAATAAAGATGGCCTCCCATCTCCTGTGACAGCCTCTTCCATGACCAACAGCCTCCCACATGGCAGGACATCTGCAGACAACCCCTCCCCAAACACATGTTATCAACCTGCCTCAGAGAATATAGAAAAGGCTTGCTCCCCTACATTTTATATTTCTTTAGTCCATGAACACTAACCCATAGATTCATAGCCTTTTCTTTCTCAACCAAAGTAGTGGCTGGTTCTTATTTTTCCACCAACATAATCTCTTTCCATGAATTTAGAAATTTTCATCTTATAAATTATAATTCATTTCTTTTTTTGTCTGTTTGCTTGTTTTTTTGGCTTTTTTTTTTTCAGTACTGAGGTTTGAATTCACCCCAACAGCCCTTTTTTGTGATGGGTTTTTCCACGATAGGGTCTCATGAACTATTTGCCTGGGCTGGCTTTGAACCACAGTCCTCCTGATCTCTGCCTTCTGAGTAGCTAGGACTATAGGCAAAAGTCACTGGTGTCCAGCAAAACTTCTTTTGTTTTGTTTTGGTGGTTTTTTTGGCAGCACTGGGGTTTGAATTCAAGGCCTTGCACTTGCTAGGCAGACACTCTACCACTTGAGCCACTCCACCAGCTCCTACAGTCTTGAGCTGGATGTGGTTTTTGTATGTTACCGGATAATTTAGTAATTTCACTGACTCCTCTTCTTTTATTTATTTATTTATTTATTTATTTATTTATTTATTTTTGGCTGCACTGGAGTTTGAACTCAGGGCCTCATGCTTGCTAGGCAAGCACTCTTACCATTTGAGCCACTCCACCAGCCAATTCATCTCTATTTTACATATGGGAAACTGAAGCTCAAAAATTATAAACCTGCAGGCTTGGGACAATGCTCAACTGGTACAGCACTTGCCTAGCAAGAATAAGGCCCTGGGTTCAATACCTGTACTGTTACTAACCTGCAGCACTTGGGAGGCTGAGAAGGGAGAATCCTGAGTTTGAGGTCAGTCTGGACTACTTAAAAAGACCCTGTCTCAAAAAAAAAAACAAAAAAAACAAAAACGAGGCAGGGGTGGGCGCTGGTGGCTCACGCCTTAATCCTAGCTACTTAGGAAGATCTCGGCTCAAAGCCAGCCCAGGCAAATAGTTCTGCAAGACCCTATCTCAAAAAAGCCCTTCACAAAAAAGGGCTGGTGGAATGGCTCAAGGTGTAGGCCCTGAGTTCAAACTCCAGTACCACAAAAAAAAAAAAAAAAAGCAAACAGACAAAAATATTACAAGCCTGGGACTGGGACTGTAGTTCAGTGGTAGCATATTTGCATAGCATGGGCAGGTCCTAGGATATAACCTCTGGGATATAACCCCAGCACTGGAAAAAAAAAAATTACAAACATTGCTTAAAGTGGGGCTAGGATTTGAACTAGGTCTGCCTGACTCACAAGCCTGCATCTCTCCCTGGATGGAGAAAACTACTGTACACGAGGCCTGGGCTACTACTGCCTGGCTTCCAATCTTGACCACTCTACTTCCTGGGTGTGTTTTGAGATAAATTACTAGTCACTATGTGACTCAGTTTCCTCATTCATAAACAAAGATAATAAATGTTAATTTTTTATTACCACCATACAAGCCCAAAGCATGTATTGAGTCCTGACATGTGGAGTCCTCACTATGGAAGTGAAGGTAGGGGCAGGGCTCTCAAGGAAGCTAGCCAGAGAGAATCAACAGGTGATGACAGGAGACAAGCACTCCCGCAGTGAAGTGAAGAGCAAGCTTTGGTGGGGAGTTGTAACTCTCCTTTTCCACTTACCCCCTTGTTTTCTCTCCCAGACTTTTGGAGAAAAGCTCCTAGGGGTCATGGCTTGGATCATGCCCATTTCCGTGGCTCTGTCCACATTTGGAGGAGTTAATGGGTCTCTCTTCACCTCTTCTCGGTGAGTGCTGCCTGGACCCGCCTGGACCGTTCTGCTGTGCACAGTGGTCTGTGGATATGGTGGGCTTATCTCTGTCAGCAGGGGTCTGCGGGGCTCCTGGGTGGTGGCTTTGCAGAGGTGTGTGTGTCAGTGTGGGTGCTGAGGGATGTGCTGCTCACGTGGCAACCTGCAGCGTGTGCAGTGTGCAGATCCTAGGTGCTTCACATATGGTGGCCTGCCCCATTTCAGGAGGAGCAAGGGCTGTGGTTGGCAGTAGGACAGTGTCTTGGCTACAGTTTGCTCACTTGGACATAGGCTGCTGCTGGCTAGAAAGGAACCCCACTCTGAAAGGGACCAGGAGAGATTATTGTGCCTGGGGCCTCTGGGTCTGGCTTGCCACAAGTGTTCTGGAACCAGACTGCACATGGGATGGGATCACTGAGTGTCCTGAAGATGCAGATTTTTTTTTCTACTCAATAAGCAGGTGCTGTGGGAGGCCACCCAGGAGGCTTGGGTCAAGAATGTGAAGTAAGAGGGTGGGGAAGAATAGAAAGAACTCATCTGTTGGTTGGTGGAGTGGCTCAAGTGGTAGAGCGTCTGCCTAGCAAGCATGAGTCCCTGATTTCTAACCCCAGTAACACCAAAAAAAAAAAAAAGAGAGCCTTTCAGCCATGCTATCACCCCAAAATTCTCTGGGAAGCCAGAAGCAAGAGTGGGCCCCCATGTACCCTCACTTCTGCCACTATGTACTGAGGGAGTTGGCCCTTCTTGATGCCCCTTCCTGCCATCTCCAGAATGAGACTCACACATGTTGGAGGATTTCCATTTGTGTGCACCACAGGGCCCTCCTGGGGTTCTTAGAAACCCCCCTGTCCTCAGGGCAAAGTCCTACTCCAAAGATGAGTCCTTGAGTTTACCTACTTCCAAGGTCACCCATCACATCAGGGAGGAGTTCCTGTGAAATGACAGGGACTGCCACGTTTTCAGGATCCAGAGCAGGAAAGGAGGCGTGTGGGTACACCTGTGCCCCAGGAGCCTATGACACTCACCCACAGCAACCTTGTGTGCATGTTACACAGGAGCAGTGGTCACCTGGAGGCCCCAGCCAAGGGTGAGCAGTGGAAGAGCAGTGACACATGAGGCTCCAGTCACCTTAGAGTGGGGTTTGTCCCTCGGGCAGGCCACGCAGCGGTCTGCATGCATGTGGCATAGTTGTATGTGCATGCAGGGGATGGAGGCGCATGGTGTGCTCGGCCTCTGATTCAGGGGCACGACCTCACCCACCCAGGCCCCTTCTGCTCTTCCTCCAGTTCCTCCTTCCCTCCTCTTTTTCACTCTTTTGTGTTCTGGGTATGGAGAGAACGAGCCTTCCCCAGGAGTCGGAGTGTGTGTGTCATGCTTATTGCCTTATTTCCTCTGTTTTCAGCCAGCCACACAAGGGTTGTTTCTTGCGAACTTGACACTTGCAAATGCTGTTGGACCTGGACAGTAACACTTGGTCCTGGCTGCATGTGGAGGAGGGATGTGAATGCAGGACCCTGACTGTGTGCACGATGGGGCCTGCAGAGCACCTGGGCCCAGTCTGGTGCATGCAGCTGCACTGCAGAGGATGGCAGCATGGGGGGAGAGGTGATGTGTGTCTGCATGAAACGAGTGACACTGGTCTAGGTAGTTCATGATGGCGACTGCTTATGGGTGCTGGGGGCCACAGGCAATTCCCACATTGCTGATGAGCTGCTGCTGCTAGCTCTGCACAAACTGACGGTTCTCTTCAGAACTCCCAGTGTGCTCCAGATGTGGGCGCATGCCTGTAATCCCAGGCTGAGGAGGAGTGTGGGTTTCAAGGCCAGCCTAGGCTACATAGTAGTCAGACCCTGTCCCCTTAAAACAAAACAAAACAACTCCCAGTGTGCTAACTCTATGCCATCTGTCCCTATCAAATATAGAGAGGCCTTTGTCTATCTTATAGTATTACATTTATATCACAAAACATTATCATATGAAAGTCAGTACATAGCTTTTTTATTAGGATTTTAAAAAATTTAGTAACTTTTAAATATCACTATCATCACTGTGATAGTATTCTGTAGCTTTGTAATTCGGTACCCATCAGGGAAACTGGGTAGAGCGTACACGAGGAGCTGGAATGTAAACCAGTGCAAGAGTACTTGCCTAAGTCTGTTTCTTTATCCAGTTATTATGAAATACAGCATTTAAACCAGAATTTTAAAGAAGTACAATTCTAGGAATTCAGAAAAGCTAATGACAGCACATTTGAAATAAATTATTTCCATCAAGTGCAAAACAAAAAAAAAAGCACTTGCCTAGCACACAAAAGGCCCTGGGTTTAAGCCCCAGCACCACAAAAAAAAAAAAAAGGTACATGGTATATAAGATCTCCCAGTATTATTTCTTACAAGTGTATATCGATTTACAATTATCTCAAAATTAAAAGTTTAGGCCGGGCACCGGCGGCTCACACCTATAATCCTAGCTACTCAGGAGGCAGAGAAGAGGAGGATCGAGATTTGAAGCCAGCCCTGAGGAAATAGCTCAAGAGACCCTATCTTGAAAAAAAAATCACAAATAAGGGCTGGCAGAGTGGCTCAAGGTGTACGCCCTGAGTTCAAGCCCCAGTACCACAAAAAAAAAAAAAAAATATATATATATATATATATTAAACTTTCACTTATTTATTTACTTATTTGTGTTACCTCCCCTCCAAAAAATGTCCTACTTTAGATTTTTTTTCGGTAGTACTGGGGCTTGAACTCAGGGCTTCACGCTTGTCAGGCAGGTGCTCTACCACTTGAGCCACACTTCCAGCCCCTAGAATTTTTATAATTGTTTCACTGTATTTTTGAGTTAGCATACATTAATAATATGAGCGGGCTTCATTGTTACAATTCCAATACATGCACACAGTATACTTTAAAGAAGTTTACTCCCCTCCATTATATTCTCACTTTCCCCCCATTTTAGAATTTTAACGTTTTCTGTGGACTGAAGATACACAGATCAGCGGTAGACCTCATATATAGCATGTGCAAGACCCTGGGTTCAATCCCTAGCACCAAAAAAAATTTTTTTTCAATAAAAATAAGGAAGATGGCTAGGTGTGGTGATGCATGTCTGTAGCCTGAACTACTCAGGAGGTAGGAGGATCAAGGTCCAAGACCAGCCTGGGCAAAAGCAAGAGACCCTATGTGAAAACAAACTAAAAGCAAACGGGACCAGGGTGTGGCTCAAGTGGTAAAGTGCTAGCAACTCCAAGCCCTGAGTTCAATCCCCAGTACCTGCCCCCTCCAAAAAAGGAAGAAAATTAAACTTAACCCATAAACCGAGACATTTTAGTGTATTTTTACATGCCCATAAATAATTTTTTAATTTGTTGGGATCACAGTTGCCTTTCTTTTCTTTTTTTCGTTGTTGTTTTGAGATAGAGCCTGGTCATATAGCCCAGCTGGCCTTGAGCTCACTCTGTAGCCTGGGCTGCCCTCAAACTCTCAGTTCCCCTGCAGCAGCCTGCCCCTTCACACCTAGTTTAGAATCATAATTTTCTATCCTGCTTTTTTATTTAATGTTATAATGTGAACATGTTCTTATATAATCATTTTTTTTCCAAAAACATTGTGACTTCACAACTTTCCATTTTGTGTCTATACCAAAATTTCTTTAATCTGTCTCATACCAAGAGCCTTGTGCACACTAGGGATATAGCTTAGAGACAGTGCCTAGCATGCACAAGGATCTTGGTTTAATACCCAAGATTGCAAATAATAATAAAAATATATTTGTATATATATACCTTTAGCCACCTCTCTATTCCTTTCTTTAGGATGGCTCCTTAGGAAAAGAATAAGTAGTTCTAAGAATATAAGTTTTAAGTACAATTTATATGCAGTAAAATGCACACTTATAGATGTTCAATTTGATGAGTTTTGGCCATTATAGACAGCCATGTACCCACTACACAGAACATCTTCACTTGCCTCCCCCTCCAGATCCCCACTTGACCCTTTCCAGTCCACTGCCCCGTCCCCACCCTGACAGAAACAACTACCCTCTTGAGTGGGACAAAACTGTCTTTAAAACTTTCCATATGCAATTCAGTCTGAACCCTTGAGCATGAAAAGGCACATTTTTAAAGGGAAGGAAGCTGCTCCTACAGTTTTCCAGGCATAGGGAATGACACTACAGTGAGCCAGCCAGACCACACTCAGGGTGTCCACACACCCAGGATCTGCCCACTTACCATTGGCTGCCTCAAGCATGCCTGCACCTGTGTTTGTGAACATGGCTTCTGTGACTCGTGGGTGGAAGGTGTGCACACAAAGGTGATTCCTGGTTGGAAGAGGCTGTGTAGGCAGAAGGTGGGCATGGATGAGGGTGCCCTGGCATGGTGGTCCATGGGTTGTCCTAGGCTAACCTGCTTTTCTTCCTGCTAGGCTGTTCTTTGCTGGAGCCAGAGAAGGCCACCTTCCCAGCGTGCTGGCCATGATCCACGTGAAACGCTGCACCCCAATCCCAGCTCTGCTCTTCACAGTAAGGGCCCCTTCTGCTGCTGGCCTCTCTTTGTGCCTTCTTTCAGCTGGGAGTCCACATTCACACACACATGCCCTTGTTACCCCCTAGTGTGCTCCTATATTCCAAAGGACCTTAGACAGGCTAACAAGTGTATTCATTGGCCTTATTAATAACAAGGAATGTAATAAGGAAAGATCCTGAGTTGAAAACTTCTTAAGACTCTCAGCCTGGTTCATTTTCATTCTCCCATCATTTTGAGGCAGACTGAAATGACAGCCTTGGGATTCTATAATCTCACAAAGACCCTGCTTCTGCCTTTCTGGCTCCTATTACCACAAGGGTAACAACAGATCTAATCTTCTGCTCCAGACTGGTGACTGCACACACCCACCTTCCCCCCTCCAGCTTCTTGTCCCAGGGTGCCCAACCCATCTCTTAGGAAATGTCACTGAAACAAATTTAGTGGTAAGAATACACCAAAATAAGAAAAATCATAAAGAGAAGACTAAGAAATTAAAGGTAGAGAAAAGGAAATTGGGAATGGGGAAGACATAGGGGTGAAACGGTCCCAGGGTAGAATCATTTATAGAGAATTAAAAGAAGGAGCAAAGACTTGCTTGTTCCCATTAAATTTTTTGAGTTATTTTTATTTTCCTTCTGGATCCTGAATTAAACATTAAAAAACAATGACTTTGGTCAACTGGAGAAATAGTCAGAAACCGGGACAACAGAGACCATTGTGGGAATTTCAAAATGTTCAGGTAGAAGATGGCCATCTTGATTGGTTAGTTCTAGAAGGGGGCAGAACAAGATACTATTCCCAGTGAGCCACACATCTCTTTTTCAGTTTGAGCCACTGTTGTAATGCTGTTGCTGAAAGGCAACGCAACAAAATGTGGCCTATTCACCCATTTAAATCTTCTCACCATCAGATCCCACAGGAGAACAGAACTTTTCTTGGCCTTTACAGATTGTCAGAGATTCTGAATGACCACAGAGGTGACTTTGAAGTTGGGAAGTAAACTCCATCAAGAAAATCTCATAGGGATGTTATGAGGGTTAAATTAGTTAATATTTGCAGAATGCTATATAACTGGCCAGACAAGTATCAATTTCTTAAAAAAAAGAAATTAGATGAATCAGCCAGGAGAAAAGGATGGGGGCAGGAACAAAGCCTTAATCTGCAGTTAGCAATCTTCCTTAAGGGATTAAAAAAAAGAAGAAGAAAAAAAAAGAAATTTATTTGAGCTATACCAAGAGAAAAATATAAATAAGAGTAGGGCTGACACAGAGCCAGGTGACATGAGTGTGGCCAATACAGGTGTCCATTCTGAGTGGTCAGTCCCCATGCTGTTCCAGTGGTTAAATACTTTGATTATACCCCTGCAATAAGAAAGAATTTTCTAGCAGTGAATGTTAATAGCAGCCTGGGCTGCTTAGGGGTAGTCGAGAAATCTCCATCTTGTTATGTCCACCATGCTATTTTTTTTTTTTCTGGTCCCAAGTAGTTTTTTTTTTCTTTAATTGTCTATACATTTATTCATATGTGTATACATTGTTTGGGCCACCTCTCCCCCTGCCCCCCGCACCCCTCTCACCATGCTATCTTTAGATACCATGGTTTGCCTGGAGGGGGAGGAACATGCCTTGACATGTGAACACCTCCTCCAGTCTCCAAGTATTGTTCTCATCCCTGATGAGTCCCTAACTTCCCCAGTGCCTCTCCACCCTGCTGATGCTGGTCACTAGCGACATGTACACACTCATCAACTACGTAGGCTTCATCAACTACCTCTTCTACGGTATCACAGTTGCTGGACAGATCGTCCTTCGCTGGAAGAAGCCTGACATCCCCCGTCCCATCAAGGTGAGAGAACCTGCTTTGGGTGCCTCCTCCCCTTCCTCAACTGGTTCTAGCTGCAGTGCCAACTTTTGAATCACCTCTGTTCTTAGCAGCTGACCACAGGGCAACATCTCTATGATAATAACAGGTCCTTTTGAAGTGAAGGCATTTCCTTCCTCCACTGGAGACAAGACCAAAACAGACTGCAGCTGGGGAGTAAGTTAGGTTCAATATTACTTTCATTACATTTTTCCTTTTTTTTTTTTTCCCACTCTAAGTCTTAAACTCCAAGTGAGTTTTCATCTCTGCAGCATTTTCTCCCTGTTCCTGCAGAAAGCTGGGTCAATATTCTGTGTATCTCCATCCCAGATGAGTTTCTTCCTCCTGTCTGCCTGTCTAAATTCTAAGTTTTCAAATGGGCCTCAAGTACCTCCTTTTTCTTGAAATGTTCCAGCCCACTTCAGCTGTCTATAATCTTTAATGATAAGCATGGATGAGATTGCTAGAGTTCTACGAATTAGAAGAACAGAGCCCAGAGCTATTTGAACAATCCTATTATAGAATTAGACACTAGATGATTCTAGAAGATTCTTCCAGCTAAGAACTCAAGGCCTCTCCAGATCTTTCAGTTTCTCACTGACATTTTTACTACCACTTTTCTCCTAGTCTTAGAAAACCTGCTAGACAGAAGAGAAGGTAGACTAATTTCACCTCCCCACCACTCTAAGAGGGGGATATAAGGAGAAAGACAGCTGAACCACGATTGACCTTAGATCCTGAAGAAGGCTCTCTCGGGACCTCCACCACATGTAGTCAGCAAGGAGTTGATGCTTCTTTCTAAAGTCCAGGTCTCAGCTTTCCTTATGCCATGGTAGCTTTCCTGATCCCTTGGGTCTTAACAGGTTTCTCTTCTGCATTTTCTTGAGGGAAACAAATTGGGGCTGATCCTGGTGAGAGGGAGAGACATCCACCATGGTGCATCTAGATGAGGCCCTGCCTAGAAGTTATCAGAAGTCAGAAGCCAGACAGACCCAGGTCATTTCATTCCTGCCTCTCCTCCACCCTAGAACCCCAGCAAGTGCCTCATAGGCTTCTCTGGCTGCCACAGACACTTGACATAGGTCATGAAGCCTTATGTGATCCCACCTGGAAGGGAGGACATGAGCAATGAGAATTGTTCCTGTCACACTGGTCAAGTTCACCAACATTTGTTGACAAAGTATCTGCCCTATGAGCCTGAAGTGTGGGCTGCAGAGCAGAGTGAAGCCCAGCCTTTGCCTTCAAAGATGTGGGTGAAGAAGAGAGGATACCCTGATCCTGAGGGTGGTGGGGGCCACAAAGTTTACAGTGCCTCTGCTCCACAGATCAGCCTGCTGTTCCCCATCATCTACCTGCTCTTCTGGGCCTTCCTGCTGATCTTCAGCTTGTGGTCGGAACCAGTGGTGTGTGGCATTGGCCTAGCCATCATGCTGACAGGAGTGCCTGTCTATTTCTTGGGTGTATACTGGCAACACAAGCCTAAGTGTTTCAATGACTTCATTGGTGAGTCCTTCAGGCTCTGGGTAGCTAGAGGGCTTCCTGGGCTGGGAAAGAGTGGTCAGTGGTCTGAGAGGGAGCCATATGAGGTTCAGGAAGCAGAGGCTTACCTTCACCTGAGTCCTCCAGGCTCTGGAGAAGGAGTTGGGGCCAGCAATGGCACATGCTTTTCTGAAGACTTCTGGGGAGAGGAGAACAGCTGACATTCTCACACATACCTTAGTACTGCAAGAAAAGGCAGCTGTCAGCCATCCTGTGGGTGCTGCCCCTTATTGGGTACAGGCTAGCATAGGCCCTGGAATTGGAATGGGCTGAAGGAAGGCTGGGGCCTTAATGAGCAAGGGGCAGTCGACAGAAGATGTAGGAGGCAGACAAGGTGGTCATCTGGAGGAGGGAGTCTCTCAAATTACAGGTAAAACCTGGGGTGGAAGAGCTGGCTAGGGCCATGTGTGGATCATGGGGTCAGCAGAACACTCAGCACTGACCCAATTTCTGTGTGGTCTCCTTTCACAGAGTCACTAACCCTGGTGAGCCAGAAGATGTGTGTAGTCGTGTACCCTCAGGTGGAAGAGGAGTCAGGGACAGATAGGGCAAGTGAGGACAGGGAGGAGGAGCAGCAGCTGCCAATCTACCAACCCACTCCCACCAAGGATCATGACTCAGAGGAACAGCCCGAGCCCTGAGGATCATCATCACCCCAACTGGCTACTCCCTCCTTCTGGTTTCTGCCTGGGTCCCCCCAGAACACACACACATACACTTCTACTTCTGTCGAGCAGGGCAGGACCTGGGTTTGAGTGGTGAAAAATTACAAAGACGACATTGATATTTATACCCAAAGAACCAGCCTCTCACCCCAGGGCCCATGTGCAAGGTCTCCACACCAGAGCTGTCCACACTCCAAGCATTAAAGGAGAGTGGACATGCCAAGGGTGCCCTACAGGGCCCTGCCTCTTGGGCCCACACCCCTAGGTGCCTCTAAGGGACCTGAGTTCACTACTGCCTTCCCTTCCCCATTCCTGAGCCCAAGAAATGCCTCAGTTCAGAGAGCAGTGGCAACCTTAGTGAGTTGGTCAGGGAAGACAGACTTAAGTGAATCTGTCACAACTAACTATCAGCTGGAAAGACTCAAACCCCTCTTTGTTCACCAGGGACCCAAAAGTCAGAGGGGATGCTTTCCTCCGCCCTCTTCCCCACTATATCCCAGCACCCTCCTCTCATCCTGTCCCAGAAAGGTTCCTTTCAAGACACCTCCTCCCAACTGAGCTATGGACCAAGAAGGAGGCCTACCCCCTCTCCCAGCCCCAGGCCAGGCCTGTGGAACACACCAGGAAAGGCTTACATTGCAGAAACCCAGCCCTGCCCCTGCCTCCTGCATCCTCCCCCCAATATGGTGCCAAAGCTTCTTGAAGCCAGAAAGGCTTATTACTCTCAGTGTAGTAGAAATGTCTCTCCTAGTGACAAAACTGCTCAGCTGTTTTGCTCCCTCCCCACCCATTGGAGAGGAGCAGTGATCCTCTTACCCCTGGAAGCTGTGCCCTCAACACACTCTCACAGAGCCAGTACTGCCAGCTGTCCCCCACCATGCCCTTTCCCTCCCCTGAACCTTGACCTGGGGTCCAGGTGTGAAGGATTTGCAAGCCCTTCAGGCCTGAAATGAGAGCCAAACCAGCTTAAAGTCACTCCCATCCAAGAATAGGGCCTAAAAATATTCTTATTTCTAACACCCAGGACAGACCTGGTGTTAAATGCCTTCCCTGGGAGGAAGGTGCTTTCCTACCTTCCCAGGGCTGCCATTCCACAACCTGGGGACTATGTGGGGAGAGTGTTTTGTAAAGGCCTGTTTCTCTCACCCCTACTCCCAACTCAAATGACCCTCCCTCCTTTCTGGTCTCACCACCGTCCCATCTGGGGACAGGATGAGAGGTCAGTGGCAGAACAGCAACCACTTTGGAGATCCTGAGAAAAACACCTTCCCAAAGGAAGGTGATGGTGTTTGCCTGGCCTCAAAGCTTCCCCAGCTACACCTGCTACCCCTCCCATTCCATCTGCTTAAACCACAATACCCAGAGGACCCCTCTTGGCTTGGGTCAGATCTCCCAGCTTCCCACCAGCTTATCTGACCCCCAAATAGTGAGAGGCTGAGTTATGGCTTTTAAAGTGGACCCCAGACGGGCTGGAGCAGGCCTCTGGAGGACCAGGGGACCATTTTTCTGTTCCCTCTCTTCTCATTCCTCCAGTCTCCTCCCTCCTTCAATTATTTTTTTGTAAAGTAGATGCCTTACTTTTTGGATAAATATTTTTGAAGCTGGTATTTCTGTTTCTTTTGGATTTGTTAAATATAAGGTTGTTTTGGGGGTGGAGTTAGAGCCCTTATGAGAATCTTCTGTCATTGAGTTGGCTTAGGTTTCAGAGTTTTGTTCATTTGTTTTGTGGAGGTATTTTTTTCTTTTCATGTAATAAAACTTAAAATGAAGTTGATGGTGTTGATAATTAAATGACCTTCTGAAACAGAGTCAACACCACTGGGGGTTTTCTTCCTTAATCAGGAGGTCTTTGGTTGTCAGATTCCTTACTGAAAGCTGTTGACCTCCACATCTTCCAGCTGTCCCAGGGCCTTGGGGCCTGTACATTCAGACAACTGCCTCTCCATCCTTCTGTGGACTCCCAAAAGGTTCCTGAATTCCCACTGGTGTACTATCTGAGGCCTGCAAACTAACCAGGGAGAAAAGCAATCATTACCCAAGGTGGGAACAAAGCCCAAGTTCAAACCCCAGTCCCACTTAAAAACAAAAAAAAAAAAGAAGAAGAAGAAGGAAGAGAAGGCAGGCTAAGTACCTCTTGGTGTTTCGGATTAACTGCAAGAGGAAGTTGATGGGACTAGCCCACGTCCTTTCTTCTGTCCCTCCCTTTCTGGGCAACCCTCCCACTGGCCTGTCCTGGGGCAGCGGCATTCCAGAGTCAGCTCTGATGACAGACCTAGGGCCTGTGGGAGGCCAGCAGGGTGGGGAGGTGGGGGAGAGACATCACCCTTCCCCATCTGGGGCATCGTGAGGACCCACACAAGGTTTGATGCCTCCACTGAGTCCCGGCCTGGCCTCAACACTCCTGCCTTGTAGCTGCTGTTCTTCCAGGCAGGCTGGAACTTGCCATCCACAGGCTCACTGAGCTGGGATGCCAGACACTTGGCTCCTGGGATCAGGTCAGCCACAAAACAGCTGTGTGTCCTTGGGCAAGTCACTTCACCTGTTTACCATTTTTTGAGGGGGCGGGGTTGGACCTAATCTCAAACAGTTTCTCAATGTTCTAATTTTAGGTTGTCCCTGAAGGGCAGAGGCCAGTCTTGTGCAGGAGGCTATCTTCCAAGCCTCATATCCATGTTTTTGAACCCCCTGTTCCTCAACACATACACTTTTCCTCTCCCTGGCCTGCCCTAGTTCTATTCTGTGTTGTCCCATTCCTCTCCAATCCCGTCACTGGATGGAGACACTTGTCCCTGCCCACCCCACCCTCTGTAAAGTGACTCCTGCTGATCTTTTCAACCTGGTCAAATGGGCAGATATGAGTTTCCTTCTGAGCCTGAGCAACATGCATTTATTTTTAACCTGGGTCTTTTCCCTGTCTTAACCTCACCAGTCACTTTAATGCTAGGAATTTCAGATGCTCTGAACTTAGAGAATTTGGGAACCTTTTGGACGTCATTGAAAAATCATGGCAGGGGCTGGTAGAGTGGCTCAAGTGGTAGAGCACCTCCAAGCATGAAGCCCAGAGTTCATACCCCAGTACCACCAAAAAAAAAAAAGAAAGAAAGAAATAAAATGCATTCATTTATTAATAATATAGTCACACCACAAATCTTTGACCATTGTGTCCAAAGACTTTGCTATATATTGTGAGAATAGCAAAGTTATTGCTGAAATTTCTAAGGCAACACAGACTTCAACTATTTTTATCTCCGTATTCAGACATGCCAATCCATCTGTCCTTAATTTTAATCCAGGAAATACAGTCACCATAGTTAAAGAGGCTCAAAAGAAGGGTCTGATCCCACCCTCAAAGATCTCACCCGGGAAAAGAAGCCAAGTAATGCTCATGACACAAGTATGTACACTTTCTGGCCTCTGCCCGCCCATTCCATGTTGGGTCCACCTACCCATGGACCTCCCCAGCTGGGCTGTGAGTTTCCAACATATCCTCAGAGCCTGTGCAGTGCTGGCACCTATGTGCTCAAAAACGCTGTGAAGGGCTAAAGGCGTGGCTCAAGTGGTAGAGTGCCCGCCTAGCAAGCAGCATGAAGCCCTCCCTGAGTTCAAACCCCAGTCCGGCAAAAAGAAAAAAGAAAACACTCTTCAAAATGAGGTGACATACCAGACAGAACTCTGCTTTGGAAACACAGGTAGAATGGCAGTGTGAGGTCAAGGGGAAGGAGACTTAACGTTCACTGAGACCAGTCATTTTATATCCATTACTTTATTCAAAGTTTAATTAAACAACCCTATGAAAGAGGCATTACTACTGCCATTTTACAAGTAAGAGATTAAGCAGCTTGTCCAAGGTCATCAAACTGGTGACAGGAGCCAGTGTTTAGCCCGGCTCTCTCTGATACTTCACAACCATACTCAGCCATCTCCCTGGTTCACCAAGGAGGTGGTGCTTGAAAGAGGCCTGTCACAAAGTCACAAGTGGTACACACGTTCATTGTTTTAGTTATTCCAAACAGGTAGCAACTGCCTCTGCAACAGGAAAATGATCCTGCTGAGTGGGAAAGGCTTCTGTCCACTCCTGAGCAAGAACTCCCCCTAGCCCTGGGCTGGTGCTGCTCTCTCACCTCACTCCCTCCTCCTACCCAGAGCCCTCTTCCCTCCCCTAACATCTGCCACAGTCCAAACCCTGTTACTGGGAAACACTGATGTCAGTATGTAGGCCAGCATCAGCACCATCCAGGGAGGCAGGGCCCAGGTCACTTATCTCTCCATGTCCCAAGCTGCCCGCTTTCTCATTTCCTGCTTCTCTATTTGCACACCTTCCCACTTCCTCCAGCACCCACTTAGCTGCTTCCCCCTCCCCATGGTAGCTGACAGGGTGAAAGAGGTTCTCTGAGGCACACAGCAAGCCCCTTTCCATCCATTTGGCCTTGTGCCATTTCAAGCACAAGCCCAAAACCCTTTCTGAGATCAAAAACACATCCTCTGGTGACTTTGGGCAGCTCAGCCTCTTAGCCTTGTTGATGAAGTTGGGATTAAAAATACTGTCTGCATTGACTTCCTTCCTACTTAACTCACAACAATGGTCAACATGGAAAAGCAAATGTTTCAATGATTGAAAAGGCATAATTTAGTTGGGCACAGGTGGCTCACATCTGTAATCCTCACTACTCTGAGGCAGAGATCAGGAGAATCCAGGTTCTATCTCGAGGCTGTATCTTGAAAAAAAACACAAAATAGGGTTAGAGTGCATGCCTAGAAAGCATGAAGCCCTAAATTCAAACTCCAGTACTGCCAAAAGAAGAAGAAAAGAAAAGGCATAATTTATCAGACAATACAGGCTAACCATTATTTCAAAGTCAGGGAGGGGATAAAATTTCTCATTCTTGAGAGAAGGCTTTAGCACCAGTCCTTTGGGCCTACCCATCCTCCCAGTAATCTGACTCTACGTCCCCCATCCTGGCCCTATTTCCTCTCCCTGCTTCCCAATATCAAGGCTGAGAGAAGCTGCCCTCTGCTGTCCACCTGATTCCAAACCATATTAGCCCACTAAATCCAGAATTCGGGCCTCAATATTGCCACCTAGTGGTCAATAGAGGCACCAAATCAAAGTTGCTTGGTTTTGGTACCTGCTTGGTACAGAGTCCTTTGAAATGAGGAAGAAAAATCTTCCCACGGACTTCCTGAGACCTGTCTCTGGGATACATGCTGATCTCCCCATGCCATCTTAGGGTTTTTGAAGAAAGCATATCTGCCATACCTCAATTTGTGCTCAGAGAACACTTGGGGCAGGTGTCAGGGTAGGGAGGATGGAAAAGGAGAATACTATCTACAGGAGTAATTTGTCTGACTTGTAGGCAAGTTACATTTGCAGTTTTGACCTTAGTGTTCAATGCCACATGTATCCCACCAGTAGTTTCCCCCTCTGCGGCCCCTCACAGTGACCTGGTCCTTGGTGTACCCAACTTATAAAAATTTCTGGAACCCCACAGGACAACCTCAAGCATTTGTTGATAATAAAAGTAGAGTTGGGTGTGGTGATACATACTTGTAATCCCAGTACCCAGGAGGCTGAGGAAGGAAAATCATGAGTTCCAGACCAGCCTGACCTATATAACAAGACTCTATCTCAAAAAAAAGGAACACATTTTTATGTGTCTTTTTTCTTTTTTTTTTTTTTTTTGAGTGGGACTGAGGATTGAACTCAGGACTCAGGGCTTCACACTTATAAAGTAGGCACTCTACTACTTGAGCCACATCTCCAGTCCATTTTGCTCTGTTATTTTGGAGATGGGATCCCTCAAATTGTTTCCCCAGGCTGGCCCCCAAACTGTGATCCTTCTGATCTCAGCCTCTCAAGTAGCTTGGGAACCACCAGCCCAGCTACAGCTACCCCCCACCCCCTGCCTTTTTTTTTTTTTTTTTCCTGTACTGGAGCCTGAACTCAGGGTCTATACCTTGAACTACTCCAGCAGTCTTTTTTTTGTGAAGAGTTTTTTCTAAATAGGGTCTTGTGAACTATTTTTCCGGACTGGCTTCGAACTATGATCCTTCTGATCTCTGCCTCCTTAGTAACTAGGATTACAGGCATGAGCCACCAGCCCAGCTACAGCCCCTTTTGAAGATGAAATCTGACAGGTAAATGCAGAGCAACAGGTGCCTTTGATAGGAAAGAGCAAGTTGTTCCCAAAGGAAAAAGAAAAGAGAAGTTGAAGGGCAGCACAAGATCAAGAAGTATAGAGAGGGAGCTACAGGCTTCTCCTAGAGACTCTGAAACAGAGCCCCAGGAAAAGGTGATGACAAAAGAGAAGGCTTCTCAAGCCTACAAGAGGAAGTGGACCCAAGAGACACGCACTGGAGGTCAGAGAACGGCCATGCAAAAGGAAAGACAGCAAACTGAGCTGCAGCAAGCTCCGAGCCTGCAGCCCAGTGTACAGGAAGTGGAAGGCAGAGCCTCGGGCTCAGAATGGGGGCGAAGTGCCAGCTTGAGCCTCGTGCAGTGCAAGGCAGCTGGAAGAGTGGTGCTAGAGCCACCAGAAGAGCATGGTTATTGGTTCTGGGGTTGCAGCCTGCCTGGGCCTAGGGTACAGGGCCCAGGTTCTACCGAGGTACCTCAGCAGGGTCCAGGAAAGTCAAGAACTGTGCCAGGCTGCTAGAAGTTGCCAGGATTGGAGACATGCCGGTGTTTGGGTTCCTGCACAGCCCCTGTGCAAAAACCCAGCAAATGAGCACACCCTGTACCAGGGCCCAGGCCCCCACATCTGGCTTGTTCCTAGAACCTAAACCTACTTCCTAAACCCCTCAAACAACACTCCCTGGACTGCACCCAGGAGAATGCTCTGGGAGGTGGGGCTACAGAAGGAACTGACTGACCAGGGGGTAGGTGGAGCTCTGCACTGGGGGGACAGAGAGGAAGGCGTGTCAAGGGAGGAGTTCGGGACAAGCTGGGGGTCAGCACTGGAGGAGGGCTTTATTCACTCTGACTGGGTACCTCATTCTGCACAGAATTTTTTGGAAGTTGGAGGAAGGAGGACATTCAGAGTGGGTGTCACTCATAGCAAGGATTTGGACTCCCCTGAGTTTAAGAGGAGAGAGGGGAGGCATTCCCCAAAACAGCAGCTCCTAGAACCCTTGGCTGGGGCCTCACCAAAGAGTGCCCCAACTGCTAAGTAGGCCTGGGGCCCCCTTTCTCAAAGGCCTGCATCCCTCCCTCTGGGGTGTGCCCTGCCCCTCCCTGAGTCACACCAGGGAGAGAGAGGGGAAAAAAGGGAAGAGAAGAGAGGCATTGACTACAGAGGAAGGAAAAGGAAGCAGAGCAGAGGAGGGAGGAGAGAAGCCACACAGGAGTGGGTTACAGAAGGGACCAGAGAGGGCAGATCTAGGGCAGATCTAGGGCAGGGGGAGATCAAGTAAGGGCAGGCTAAGCATCCCAAGGGGTGCCCCAAGAGTAAGGCCCAGGGGCGGGGAGCCAAGGGGGCGGGCCGGCTATGTCCCACGGGACCTACTATGAGTGTGAGCCCCGGGGTGGCCAGCAGCCACTTGAATTTTCAGGAGGCCGAGCTGGACCCGGGGAGCTAGGGGACATGTGTGAGCATGAGGCCTCCATTGATCTCTCTGCCTACATCGAGTCTGGGGAGGAGCAGCTACTCTCGGACCTTTTTGCCATGAAGCCAGCACCTGAGGGCCGAGGCCTTAAGGGTCCTGGAACTCCTGCCTTCCCCCACTACCTGCCGCCTGACCCACGGCCCTTTGCTTACCCTCCACATACCTTCGGGCCAGACAGGAAGGCATTGGGGCCTGCCGTCTACAGCAGCCCAGGGAGCTATGACCCCAGGGCTGTGGCTGTAAAGGAGGAGCCTCGCGGGCCAGAGGGCAGTCGAGGTGCCAGCCGAGGTGGCTACAATCCCCTGCAGTATCAAGTGGCACACTGTGGACAGACGGCCATGCACCTGCCCCCAACCCTGGCAGCACCCAGTCAGCCCCTGCGTGTCCTCAAGGTAAGAGCAAGTCAGTTCTCTCTACCACCTGGGGGCTGGGGCAAGACCAGGGTAGATAGGGGACTTTGAGCTCCCCACTTATACTAATGAGTCTGTTTGGTGTCACTACTAGACCAAGAACTCCTTGTTTCTTTCTCTGTAAATTCACTCTGGCCCTGAACACCAGGTCCCAAAGACCCTGTGGCAAGCTTACCTGCCCTGATCTCAGGCCTTTCTCTTGTTTCTCTGCTGCCTGCTTCTAGAAGAGGGATTGCCTGCTGATTCTAGAACAGGAGTTTCACTGAGGGAAAGTCCTCAGGGAGTGGGAGGGCATGAAAGGGAGTATTGGTCTCTGCAGAGCCTTGTGCATTGGGGTTCTCCCACAGAGGCGAGGCAATGTCTGTTTTTACCATGAGGCAGGAGCTGGCTCGGAATCCTGTATACTTTTGATGCCCAAAGTGTGCCATAGCTGTTGGGATCCCTGCCCTCCCCCCACTCTGCCTCCTGGTGGAACCTCACCTCTCTGTCCTATGCCTTACTTTCCAGGCCCCTCTGGCCGCTGCTGCGCCCCCCTGCAGTCCCCTCCTCAAGGCACCCTCCCCAGCTGGCCCTTCGCACAAGGGCAAGAAAGCAGTGAACAAAGACAGCCTTGAGTACCGGCTGCGGCGAGAGCGAAACAACATCGCTGTGCGCAAAAGCAGGGACAAGGCCAAAAGACGCATTCTGGAGACGCAGCAGAAGGTGTTAGAGTACATGGCAGAGAATGAGCGCCTGCGCAGCCGCGTGGAGCAGCTCACCCAAGAGCTGGACACCCTCCGCAACCTCTTCCGCCAGATCCCTGAGGCTGCCAACCTCATCAAGGGTGTGGGGGGCTGCAGCTGAGCCTGCTGATGGACTGTGGGCCACTGGCCTAACCCTGGGGAACCCCACCCTCCTGGGACGCTAGAGCCTTTCACAGTCTAAACCCAAGACATAGACCATAGACAATGGCAGAGGGTGACTAGGGATGGCAGAATCCATAATGATTCTGTGGCTGAATAAATTGCACTGTGACTTGGTGCTGGAGGTGTTCACTGGGCCTGGGCCTGCTTCTGGGGTGGGAAGGATTTGTTGGCCTGGAGGGCAGAGAATGTATGAGATTATATCTATATACCTCTGGGTGTCCAATGTTGCCCACAGCCCTTTCCCAGCACACTGTGCACCCAGACAATGGGTCTACCACTCTGATCTTCTGACATCTTGCCTGGCTGTCCTCCCACCCACCCATTCTGCCTTTCTGTAAGCTGAAGGCATTCTCCCTACCATACTTCCACCACACAAGCAGAACCTGGAGCACCCTCTGAATTCTTTCCTGATAGAGCCATGAGGCTTATAGAGTGTTCCCAGCACCTCACATTCTCTGTACCCATGCCTACTGAATCAGACCTGCTCTGTCTCAAGGTATAGGTCTGGGAACTCCTGCCCCAGGTGAGCAAGGGAAAATATGGCCTCTGCCATATTTATAGTGCCAAGTTCTATCACTTCTCTTCAATTCCACAGCCTCAGTGTACCAGAGTCACCCACTCACTCCCATCTGTTTCACTTATCCTCTAGAGGTCTGATTCCCTAACACTGAGAACCTGAGTGACTGGGGGAGGAAGCAGTTGGGAAGAATCAGTGAGACCTGATTTTATGTGAGAACACTTATATTGAGGAGGAGGAGGATGATCTAACTTTGCCTGGGAAGCCCCACTGTTCGAAGAGTTTCCTTTTTTCGTAGAACTACAATACAACCTAGGAAGCAGAATAGTACAGTAATTAAGAGCCTCTGTTTGCATCTCCTTCTGCTACTTTCTGGCTGTCTGACCTTGAGCTAATTACTTCTCCTTTCAGTGCCTCAGTTTCCACATCTGGAAAAAAAATGGGAGTAATTTGAATACTCATCTCATAGTTTTATTATATTCATAGGGAAAAAGAAGCTGGCACATTGTGAACATGAATTTTTGTTATGATTCCATTTTGCTACAACTGAAAGAACCTCAGAGATCTCACCTAAACTGTTCATTTTGCAGATGAGGAAACTGAGGCCTCAGAGAAGGGAAGAGACTTGCCCAGAATCAAGAGAATATTTAGAGGCAGAATCAAAATTAGCTCCATAAAATCACAGATCTCAAGAGGTGCTGAGAGAGACCTCAAGAGATCATCTGGTGAGCTTTGCCTTCACACAAGTAAGATAGTGTGAGCCACATCTTATAGATAAAGCAGGGAGGCCAGGGGTAATAACAAACAGACTGACTCCTGAAGCTCACTCAGTGCCTTGCTGTTTTGGTACATGGCACCTGTCTCTCTCCTCCATACTCACCTCCCTCCCTCAAGGATGTACAACACAGTGGGGCACATTTGTCTAGCATGCAGGAAGCCCCTGAGTTCAAGCCCCTGCAGGAAAAAAAAAAAATCATGAGTTGACAGCATCAGAGACCAGGAATGTCTCTCTTAAGCCACTTCTGCGAAAGCCTGAGCTAGACTTCAAGAAATAAGTCTCTGAGAGGGTGAAACTTGTATCTGAATCATCCTACGAGCCTAACCACTGCCCTCTCTTCAGCAGACCTAAGTGGTACAGCTCTCCTGCATTCCAGGCATCCATGTGCACCAGGTCTACCTCAGCCAGGACGTAGCCCCAGGTCTGGTTTGAGGGTGTAGATTTGAACCTTCAGGTGGATGGACTGACTGACGGGAGATGCCTGAGTTTAGGAGGGAGGTGCCCATCTCTGTGGCACCTGGGAGAATCCTCTCACCTTCCCTTCAGCCCAGGGGGAATAGGTTGCATAAGGGGGATTGCACAGAGTGCAGCAAGTGACTCAATCTCCAGATCTCCTCTTCTAAACTCAAGACCACTGCTCCATGACTTCTTTTCAATGCACTGGATGGTGGGACCTGGGTTACTTCAACCTCCAGCTTCTTTCCCACAGCTCTGAGCTGCATCTTCTCCCAGCTCTCCACCCCATCACCTCTCAGGACAGGTGCCTGGGTAGAAGCATTCTGACTGGTACCAAAGCTGGAGAAGAGCCACCTCTTCAGTGGGATCCCAGCTGGATGTGACATGGAGCAGCCCAGCACACCCACTCCTGTCAGATCATATGCCAGGGAGATAATTTACAGCCAGAAAGAGGCTCTCAATCCTACTTCAACTGGTTTTGACTAAAGTAATTTATTTATCAAGTATTTGTCGAGCATTTTTTTTGCGAACAAGACAAGTTCTCAGCTGAAGAGGTTGGAAGAAAAAGGCTGAAATAAATTAAGTGTGTTTACTATCTCCTGGGCCTCTCCAGGTCTCCCCTCTACCCTTTCTTACCCTACTCCCCTCCTGGGCGACTGCCTCCCTAAGTTATCTGGGTTCCCAGGACCGTGAGAAAGACTTACAGGAGTAGAGGGAGGCACACCCTCCCTGCAGGCCCCTCTCACAGGATTTCCTCTCCGGTTCCCTTAGCACCCCACTATGGGAGCCCAGGTACTTCACCACTCCTGTGGCTTTCCCTCAGTTCTGTGCTTTCACACCTTTATAAAGTCTTTTCATTCAATGCTCCATTAACCCATTTTAATGTGCCCATGGAGAAAATCCAATAAAGAAATAGGAAGAGAGGTCATTTTAAGGAAGGCCTCTCAGAGGAAGTGACTTTGAAGTTGAAACCTGAAAAATTTCAAAAAGAAGGCTGATGTGTCATTGGGTTAAGTGTGAGCAGAAGGAAAGAAAATGCAAAAGGTGTCAGTGACCAAGGAAAAGAAAGGAAGCCCAGTGTGGCTAGCTGAATTGAAAGAAAGACAAAGGGGTAAGCAAGAAAAATGCCTCTTTTGCTACAGACAGGAGTTGCAAATTACTTTCTTGCTATTCCTTCTGCCAAGGAGGACAAGCCCTAAAACGTAAGAAGCTGGGGAGGAGTAGAGAACAACTTATCTCTGCCTCTGCTGTTGGGGAGCCATAGAAGAAAGGGCAGCAGAAAGGAGCCTAGAGAAGGGCAGTTAACCAATCCCTGCCTGGGTTTAGAAAAGCTTCAGATCTGGGAATTGTGGACCTTTGAAAACCAGCAAAGTAAAGCCCCAGCAGCACACGTGCATGCATTCCTCTTGCTTTAGAACCGAGTCGGGCCCACTTTTCCTTCTTGAGCTAGGGACCAGGATGAGAGTTCTGAACTGAGACAGGATCTCAGCCACAAGGAAGCTACAAGGAGAAGGAAGCCAGGGAGATGCCGAGAAGAGGGAGGAAGCTGCCCAAGGTGAGTCTGCCAAGGTCAGTGGGCTGTGGTGGTGGTGGCTTGTGAAAACTGCCCCCCCTTGCTGGGTGCACACCTCCCTCCCCCCACCATACAGATTGCCAAATGCCTAGGCCCCCAGGGCCCCCATCCCGGTGTTGCAAGATCCCGGTTGGGGTTGTGGTGGAAAGGGGCCTCTTCACCTCCACCCCTTGCCCTGTTCCAAGCCAGTGAGGGGACTCAGGAATGGTGGTATAAGAAATATCAGAGCTGAGGCCCAGTACACTTCTCTAGAACCCTCACCAGCCCCCAGTAGGCAGACCCGTCCTCCAAAGTGAGAGTGGTCTCACCTGGACAGAACTCCTGTACAGGCTGGGACTATAGCTCAGTGACAGAGCACTTGCCTAGTATTCGAAAGGTGCTGGGTTTCATTCTCAGCACCACAAAACAAAACAAAACAAAACAAGGGCCCTGATGTAGGTAGAGTCAAGACATACATAGAATGGATCCATCATCCCTGTACCCTGAATGCTAAGTTTTATCCTGAAGGCTAAGCTTCACCCTGAAGGCCCAAACTGTCCAAAACCCCTGTTGCCTCCCACACCTAGTGGCACTGTCACCCCTGGCCAGGCCAGCCAACCCTGCTGCAATCAGGACGGTTTGCAAAACGCCTGCTAGCTCCCCCTTTGTCACCATCTGAGGTTAGGACTGTACTTGGGAGATAAGCTCAGGCCCCACCCGCTGGTCCCCGCAGACTGCTGGCCTGCTGCAATCGGGACGGTTTGCAAAACCCCTGCTAGTTCCAGCTCTGTCACCATCTGAGGCTTGCTAGGGCTGCACTCCAAGATAAAGTCCAGTCCACCCACTGGCTCTGCCTTCCAAACCTCACAGCAGTGTGGCCCCAAGAGACAGAGTTTCTCAAAGTCACATATGGTCTGGAAGCTTTACTTTGGCCAGTGCAAGGACCCTGCTCTCTGGTGTTCCTCTCCACTCATAGCCTCACCTTTGCATCCTGCCATCCCCTCCTCAGTCTCCATCTACTCTCCCCACCTTCCATCTTCCATTCTCACCTCCGCCTTCTCACCACATTTATTCATTCATTTGCTAAAAGTGAAAATATTTATTGAACACCTACTCTGGGCCACTTTATGTGTTGTAAGAGCTAAGGATAAATAAGGACAATTCTTGTCCTTGTGGACTCTGCAGATTAGTGAGGATGACAGACAAACATGATACCACAAATACATAAATCTAGACTGTGGGCAGTGCTATGTGGCAAAAGTAAGAGATGACCAGTGACATACATTTATGTTTTGGTCAGTAGTGGGGTTTGAACCCAGGACCTCACACTTGCTAGGCAGGCACTCTACCACTTGAGCCACTTCACTGGTCCTTTTTTGTGTTGGATATTTTCAAGATAGGGTCTCTTGAACCATTTGTCTGGGCTGGCCTCAAACCAAGATCTTCCTGATTTCTGCCTCCTGAGTAACTAGGATTACATACATGAGTGAGCCACCAGCACCTGGCTTTTTTTTTTTTTTTGCGGTACTGGGGCTTGAACTTAGGGCCTTCACCTTGAGCCACTCCACCAGTCCTTTTTCTTGATGGGTTTTTTTGAGATAGGGTCTCACAAACTATTTGCCCAGGCTGGCTTTGAATGGTCATTCTCCTGATCTCTGCCTCCTGAGTAGCTAGGATTACAGGTGTGAGCCACCAGCACCCAGCCATTTGTTTGTTTTGAGACAAGTTCTCACTATGTAGCCCAGGCTGGCCTTGAACTCATGATCCTCCTGCCTGAGCCTCCCAAGTGCTGGAATTACAAGTGTGTACCA